CCCTCCCTCCCTCCCTCCCTCTTTCTGTCTCTCTCTCTCTGCCTCTCTCTGTCTGTGTCTGTCTCTCTCTCTTTCTCATGTGTGTGAGTGTGTGTTTGTGTGTTTGAGACAGGTAGCCCAGGTTGGCCTCAAACTCACTTTGTAGCTGAGGGTGGCCTTGAGTTAACTCTTGATTGTTCTGCCTCAGCTTCCCAAGTGCTGGAATTAAAGGTGTGTGCCAATAGGTCTGCTTTTTTTGCTTGGGGGAAAAAAATGTCAATAATGTATCTTTGTCTTTCTAGAAAGAAAAAGTGATGTAACTCAATCACTCTGAAGACTTGGAGGTCGGGGTGAAGAGGGAGGCATGGCCTGGCCGCGATTTTTGCAGAGGGGGACTCTGTTCACCAGCTTCAGCCATCACCATGTTGCTGTGTTCCTGCTCACTTTCTTCAGGTACTGGCTTCCTGGCTCGTGTCATCTGCCTTTGGGAGTGGTGCTGCACCAGAGTCGAGTACGCTGGTTGACCTGGTTGACGTGGACTTCCAGTGAAGTAGATGGCTTCCTTTGCACTTCTTTGCTTTGTTTTAGTTTTGGTGCTTGGCACAGAATTCATAGCTGCAAGCTTGCTGAGCATATTCTGTGTCACTGAACTATATACCTCTGGATCTCAGGTGTGCTTTTTTCCCCTAAATATTTAATGACACCCTCATAAGTCAAATTTTTTGAGATAGAGTCTCATTGTGTAGTTCTGGCTGTCTTAGAACTTGCTACGTAGACCAGGCTGGCCTTGAACTCACAGAGATCTGCCTGCCTCTGCCACCTGAGTGGTGGGATCAAAGGTGTGTGCCCCCACTGCCTAGCCACAGTTTAACCTTTTTAGAAAATTTTATGTGTATGAGTGTACACCATGTCATGCAGAGCCTGTGGAAGCTGGAAAAGGGCATTGGATCTCTTGGAAGTGAAGTAACTGATGGTTGTGAACCAACCATCACATGGGTGCTCAGAACTAGAGCAGCAAGTGCTCCTGTCCACCATAATTCAATTTAAACATTTTATTTTAATTAGTTTTTATGGACATGGGGATGAAATCATAGCATTTTATTTATTCTTAGCCTGTACTTAACCACTGAGCAGCACATTTTATTTTGTGGCTTTGGGGACAGAAGTCAGTCCTCATACATTACCATAGGCTCAGAACCTGAGCTTCATTTCCACCTTCTGTTTTGTTTTTTGTTTTGTTTTTGTTTGTTTGTTTGTTTGTTTGTTTTTTGAGATAGAGTTTCTCTGTATTGCTTTGGAGGCTGTCCTGGAACTAGATCTTAAGGACTAGGCTGGTCTGGAACTCACAGAGATCCTTCCACCTCTGCCTACCAAGTGCTGGGATCACAGGCGTGTGCCACCACCACTCGGCTGAGGGTTACTATTTTCATTTAGTGTCAGAGACCAGGGGTGCTGCTAATGTCATAACTTGAACCAAGAACTTGTTGACATAAAATGTTGCAGACGTTAGTCAGGTGGTGGTTGTGCATGCCTTTAATCCCAGTGCTCAGGAGACAGAAACAAAGGGATCTCTGTGAGTTTGAGGTCTAAAAATCAAGTTTCAGGACAGCTAAGGCTCCACAGAGAAACCTAGTCTTGAAAAAACGGAAACAAACAAACAAAAAACTGTTGCAGAGGTTGAGAAACACCAATCTGGTATCAGGGCTTTCTCTCAGAGCTTGTAAGGGAAGATGTGTGCACTCAGGAGATGCCCAGAGCCTCCTAGATGCCTAGAGAGCAGAGGTGAGAGGGGTGTTGTCCGGAATTTGCTAACTCCTGAGACCTGAGGCTTAGCAGCCCTTAACTAGTTAGCACGACTGGAGGAGTTGTCTGTTTTTATGGTTCTGTAGCCCTAAGTGACCTCTTTAGTTATATACCATAAACCAGGGTGTTTAGGGGTAGGATATTATAAGTAGCCCTCTTATTCAACAGATTTTATTACAAATTTTGTTCATTCATTTATTTACTTTGGGAGTGCCATCTGCCACGGTGTGAGAGCGGAGGCCAGAGGACAAGGCCTTGGAGCCTGTTCTCTCCTTTTACCATGGTGTGCCCAGGGATTGACTTTAGTTTATTAGACTTAGAGACAGATCCCTTTAGCCATCCCACCAGCCCTAATAATTGTTATTGAAGGCACTATATGTGTTGATTACCCCCTCCAAGAATAAATTAGGAAAATGGTTCTGTAGTCTTATAAGAATCGCTAGGTCATTTTGACAACTTGGCGTAAGGCTCTCCATTTGAGAGAGATAGGCGTGACTGGGCATTACTCAAATGCTTTTGAGAAGTGACAGTATGCCTTAAGGTAGGTGTGTCACATCTATTCCAGGGTAAGTTATGCACAAACAGTGGAATCATAAAGAAGACAAGACAGGGTTTCTCTGTGTAGCCCTGGCTGTCATGGAACTTGCTCTGTAGAGTAGGCTGTCCTTGAACCCAAAGATCTGACTGCCTCTGCCTCCCCAGATCTGGGATTAAAGGGTGCATAAGCACCACCTCATTAGAAGAGCCTGTCTTTTTTATTTTTATCTATGGCATTGGTGTTTTGCCTGCATGTGTGTCTGTGTGAGGAGGGTGTTGGATACCTTGGAACTGGAGTTAGAGACAGTTTTGAGCTGTCATGTGGGTGCTGGGATTTGAACCTGGGTCCTCTGGAAGAACAGCCAATGCTCTTAACCACTGAGCCATCTCTCCAGTCCCTGAAGAACCTGCCTTAATGGGCAGCTTTTACAAAGCAGCAAATAGTTTTTGTAAAGCTTCCAAACTTGGGTAAAACAAATGTGCACATATTTGATCTTTGTTGAGCGCTGTTTTTTTTGCTTCTCATTCGGTTCTGTTTTCTCTCTGTGTTTTGCAGCTATTCATTGCTCCATGCGTCAAGAAAAACATTCAGCAATGTCAAAGTCAGTATTTCCAAGCAATGGACCCCAAATGCCTTTAACACATCCATTGACCTGCCTGCAGAGGTACGCAGAGTGCTGGGATGGAGCTAAGAAGGACTCCCTTCACGGCCACCCTTAAGCGATTCCTAAGTTCTTTTTGCATCATCTAGTCAGGATTTACTGTGTCCTAAGGTTATGAACTCCAGACTGTTGTAATTTCAGAACCTGTATCACCTTCTTTCTCCCTGTTGTGAAATCATTCATTGAGTTTCACAAGTGCTGTGTGCATTTCTCTCTTCGATTGATTTTTCATTTTTAGTTTTTTTTTTTTTTTTTTCAAGACAGGGTTTCTCTGTGGCTTTGGAGGCTGTCCTGGAACAAGCTCTTGTAGACCAGGCTGGTCTCGAACTCACAGAGATCAGCCTGCCTCTGCCTCCCGAGTGCTGGGATTAAAAGTGTGCACCACCACCGCCTGGCTCATTTTTAGTTTTTATCTAATCTTGCACCTTTTCTTTTCTCTTCTCTTCTCTTCCCGCCTCCCTCCACCTCTCCTTCTTCTCTCTCCTCCTCCTTTCTTCTTCTTATTTGAGACAGGCTCTCTCTATGTACTTGGTCTTGGTTGGCTTGGAACTTGCTCTGTAGACCAGGCTGGCTTCAAACTCAAGAGAGATCCACCAGGCTCTGCCTCCCGAGTGCTGGGAGTAAAGGTGTTCACCATTCATCCCAGCTACTTTTTTCTTCTTTTAAAGTAATTAAAAACAAAAACACGTGTGTGTGTGTGTGTGTGTGTGTGTGTGTGTGTGTGTGTGTGTGATGCACATATGTGCACATTCCCAGAGGCCAGAAGAGAGAGTGTTGGATTCTCTGGAGCTGGGGCTTAAGAGCCTGCCCTTGTGGGCTCTGGGAGTGAAGTCTAGCCAACTGAAAGAGCAGCCAGTGCTCTTAACTGAGGAGCCATCACTCCTGCTTCTCCTCTTCACCCATTTTCTGCTTAAGTTTTGCCTTCCCTTTGGGATGAGATAAAATACCTTTTTCTTTTTTTTAAAGAAAAGAATGGATTTTATTTATTTGTGTTTTGAGTGTTTTTGTTTTGTTTTGTTTTTTGTTTTTTTTTTTCCCAGGTGTTTGTTGTTTCCTTCTACCGTGTGGGTCCTGGAGATTGAAGTTCTTGCCAGCCCCCCACTTACTTTTGTTTAGACAAAACATCTTTGGCTCCTCTGCTGTAGGTTGGTGACATTTGAGTCCCAGTGCGGGATTCAGGTGCAGTCAGCTCCGTGTCCAGAAAACTGGGATTTGTGCTTTAGGATTCTGGGTTGGCAGTCCCCTAGGCCACCCCGGGTGTGAGGGGTTAGTGGCTCACTTAGAGCACTGAGTGTGTGACAGGGAAAGGACAGGAAGTGAAATGAGCAAGGGAGAGGTACCCAGTGTGAAGCCTGCCTGAGACCAGGTTCCCTCCCAGAGTGTTCCTCTTTCCCACAAGAGCCTGTGACAGCACAAGAGAGTTGCTGTCTACGTAGGAAGCCCATGGGAGGCCAGGGTTTTTATGGGGGCCGGTCACACAGGCATCTACTGGGTAGCACCTATTAAAATTTCAGGGTCTCCGGAAAGCAGGGTTCAGGATTCCGGGGTACAGAAAGTGAGTAGTTACTGGGAATGCTGGGAACCCTCCCTAGTCTGGTTAGGGCGATCTGATGCTTAGCCTTGTGAACAGGCCTGGGTTGACTCTCTTTGGTGGTAACTGTTCACATTATTAGCTCTTACGGAACACTATTGACCCTTTTGCTTGCTTGGTTAATCAGTCCATCCGTCCTGGTTCTGGGGGTCTAATCCAGGATATCATCTGTCCTAGGCAAGTGTCCCACGACTGGGCTCCACCCCCAGTATTTAGGCATTTTTACCCTAATTGATGTCTCAGTAGGTGTTTCTATTCTTTTTCTTCAGAACTGCTGATTTTGCAGTTTGGATTGATTGATTGATTGGCTCTACAGAAATTTGGTTCCAGCATGCCATATAGAGCTTTGTGTTTCTTTTTTCTTTTCTTTTCTTTTCTTTTCTTTTCTTTTCTTTTCTTTTCTTTTCTTTTCTTTTCTTTTCTTTTCTTTTCTTTTCTTTTCTTTTCTTTTCTTTTCTTTTCTTTTCTTTTCTTTTCTTTTCTTTTCTTTTCTTTTCTTTTCTTTTCTTTTCTTTTCTTGGCTTTGGAGGCTGTCCTGGAACTTGCTTTGTAGACCAGGCTGGCCTCGAACTCACAGAGATCCACCTTTGTCTGCTGGGATTAAAGATGTGTGCCATCACTGCCCAAGAGCTTTGAGTTTCTTTACAGACCCATCCTGTAGATACCCACACTCTGACCCAAGGCAGAAACTGGGAAATGAGCTCAAATGCAGCTTTTTTCCTGAGTCATACCACCAACCCCCAGAATTTTACCTTCTGTTAAAGATACGGTATTTTGGGGCCTGGAAAGATGCTCAGCAATTAAGAGCACTTGTCCCCGCAGCAGACCCAGGCTTGGTACTTGTCACCCACGTCAGGCAGCTCACAGCTACTGGTAATTTCTATTCACAGGCTCTGGCGTCTCTGGCCTCCATGGGCGCCTATACTTGCATGCACGCATGTGCATGCCACCACCCCACTGGGGAGGGAGAAATAAAAATAAGCCTTAAATTTGTTTTAATGACATTTATTTATTGTGTGTGTATGGTGTGGGTGTGGGCATGTGCGAAGCACAGCACATATATAGAGATATCAGAGGGCAGCTTCTGGAGTCCACTTTCACCTTCTACCGCTGGGTCTTGGGCACTGAATCCAGGTGGTCTGGATTATACCTGTGAGCTACCTTGCTGACTCTAAAAATAACTGACTCTAAAAATAACACTTCTGGGGACAGAGAGATGGCTCAGTGGTTAAGAGCACTGGCTGCTCTTCCAGAGGACCTGAGTTCAATTTCTAGTAACCACATGGTGGCTCACAACCATCTGTAATGAGATCTGGCTCCCCCTTCTGCTGTGCAGGAACACATGCAGATAGAGCACTCATACACATGAAATAAATATATATATATTTTAAAGTGCTACTGATGATAGTAAAGTTTCTCTTTAATGTTCTGAAGTAAGCAATCTAACCTCTGCCATAACTCGCCAACAGCAGATCTGCCTGAAACTCAACTGTGTTCATTTGTAGCCAAGTCTTTCTATAGCTCCGGCTCCAGGCAGCAACTGATCTGGGAAGCTGTTTTTTATTCTATTTTCTTATTAATTTTTAAAAAACTTTTATGTGGCCAGACAGTGATGGCGCACGCCTTTAATCCCAGCACTCAGGAGGCAGAGGCAGGGGAATCTCTGAGGCCAGCATGGTCTACAGTGTGAGTTCCAGGACAGCTAGTGTTATAACACAGAGAATCCCTGTCTCAAAAAACAAGCAAAACAAAACAAAATTTTATGTGTATGAGTGTTACGCTTGCCTGTGTGCACGTGTGTGCTTGATGCCAGTGGAGGCCAGAGAAGGCATCATGTCCTCTGGAACTGCATTTATGGATGATTGTGAGTCACCATATGGGTGCTGGGACCGGGACCTGCTTTTAATCGATGAACCATCTCTCCAGCTCAGGGAGTTGTTGGTTTTTTTTTGGGCGGGGAGGGGGGGTAGAGACAGGGTTTCTCTGTGACTTTGGAGGCTGTCCTGGAACTCACTCTGTAGACCAGGCTGGCCTCGAACTCAGTCAGAATTTATTTCATTTGGACACACCGCCTAATCCATCTTCTTACAGAGCTGACTTGGTCATTAGCACCTCGGTGTTTGACTTGAGAGAGAGGGTGTACTAAGGAGCACCCTTAGTGCCCTAGGAAGTAGCAGCGGGTCCTTGTCAGAGCTGGACTTTGAAGTCAAGCAGCTTTCCACAGGATGTGCCCTTTCCGAGTGTGCACACGTGTGCCTGCGTTTCCTTACCAGAGGTCACTCCCTGCTCCTCACCGCAAGGGTTGTGTGGGATGGCAGTGGATCAGATGGTTGGGAAGTGGTTGTGAGGTGTGAAGTACGAAGGCTGCAGTAGAGTGACTTGTCCTGCCTGGTCCTGTGTTTGTGCAGATCTGGAGCAGCAACCATTTGTTCCCCAGCACAGAGGAAGCCACTCTTTTCCTTGGAACACTAGATACTGTTTTTTTGTTCTCCTATGCTGTGGTAAGTTTTAAAATTACAGAGGGTTTTTTGTTTGTTTGTTTGTTTGTTTGTTTTTTAAATAACTACTTAATTTTTTTGTTTTGTTTTTCAAGACAGCTCTGGCTGTCCTGGAACTCACTGTGTAGACTAGGCTGGCTTCGAACTCACAGAGATCCGCCTTCCTCTACCTCTTGAGTGATGAGCGCCACCACCGCCTGGCCAAAATCGTCATCATCATCATCATCTTCTCTTTTTTTTTTTTTTCTTTTTGGTTTTTCGAGACAGGGTTTCTCTCTGTAGCTTTGGAGCCTATCCTGGCACTCGCTCTGTAGACCAAGCTGATCTCGAACTCACAAAGATTCTCCTGCCTCTGCCTTCTGAGTGCTGGGGCTAAAGGTGTGCGTCACCACCGCCCGGCTGTCTTTTTCTTAATGTGGTGCTGGAAATAAAACCCAGCACTTGTGCCTAGCTAGACCCCTGCTCTCCACCGATTGACCTCCCCTCTCCCTCATCAGATGTTTTTAAAAAATGATTGTTGTTTTTGTTTTTGTCTTTTTGAGACAGGTTCTCTGTGTAGCTCTGGTTGTCCTAGAGCTGGTTCTGTAGACCAGGCTGGTCTCAAACTCACAGAGATCCTCTGCTTCCCAAGTCCTGGATTAAAGGTGTTCTGTACCACGCCTGGCAGGGTTTTTTTTTTTTTTTTTTTTTTTTTTTTTTTTTTTTGTTTTTTTTTTTTTTTTTTTTTTTTAATGTGTATGGTCGTTTTGCCTGAATGTATGTCTGAACACCACATGTATACTGGGTGTCTGTAGAGGTGAAACAGGGCATCAGATCCCTGAAACCAGACTTAAGTTTTGATCCACCGTGTGAGTTCTGTGAGGCAGACCTGGAAGAGCAGCCAGTGCTCCTAACCATTGAGCCTGCTTTCTGTCTCTCTGTCTTTGCTTCTGTGGCTTCCAGGCCTTGTGCCTTGTCTGAAAGAGAATTGAGTGTTCTTCATTGTCCTCCTCCTCACAAATTGCACAAGGCCTCTTGCAGCGTTTGCAGACCACTGAGTCTAATGCTTGTGTGGTATTTGTCATCTAAGGGTTATGTGTTATTAAGGCAGTGAATTTATTGGAAATAATTAGTCTTATGTCAATTTAAGTTTGAAGTCAAGACAATTAGTCATTTTAGACATTTGTGGCAGAAACCTAAAGTGTGTTGCTCTCAAAGTTCAGACTGATCTCAGTATTTAGTCCTGCTGGGAACTGGGAGGAGAACAGAAGGTGTAGGCCACTTGTGCTTCTCAGTGGCCATTGCCCTCCCAGCCTTCCCATCCTCCTTGCTTTGTGATGCCCTGAAACCTAAGAGGCACTGGCAGCTGGCGTGCACCATAACCTCTGCCCTGTGCCTTACAGGGTCCCAGCCAGACTGAGCACATATGGGAACACTTCTTAAACCCAAGTACAAATGGTTCAGAGAACCTGCAGGAAGGCTCAGGACCACTGCTTAATCCAGCTCATCTAGAAAATGGAGCATCTCAGCTGGGCATTGGTGGCACACACCTTTAATCCCAGCACTCGGGAGGCAGATCTCTGTGAGTTGGAGACCAGCCTGTTCTACAGAGCCAGTTCCAGGACAGCCTCCAAAGCAATACAGAGAAACCCTGTCTCGGAGAAAAAAAGAAAAAAAAAAAAGGAACATCTCTGGGGCTTGTTTTGACCTTTTCTGCTGAATGTTTGCAGTGTAATGCTTGCTGAAATACATTCATAGACAGTTAAAGTAGAGGTGTAAAGAAGGTTTGATTTTTCCAGTCACCTCTCTTCATTTTGCCCTATTTGTAATGTGTGCTTCCAGTTTAGACTGTTACTGTATGGAGCGATCAAATGAAATGCTTTATTTTTAGGGCCTCTTCATCAGTGGCATCATTGGGGATCGGCTGAACTTGCGATGGGTTCTATCTTTTGGCATGTGCTCTTCTGCATTTGTGGTAAGCTGAAAGATTTTTATGGTGATGGTGGTTATTGATGGGCTGTCCAGGTGACTTACAGGTTAAAAGGGCTTGCTGTACAGATCTGATGACCTGAGTTCCATCTTCCTATTCCACAGTGGATGGAGAGACACACCCAAAAGTTGTCCTCTGACCTCCATGAGTGCACTCTGGCATGCATGTACCCCCCCACTCACACTTGCATAAACATGAATACTGAGTAAAACTTAAAAATAAAGTTACTACTATTTTGATCAGATGTTCTAGAGCCCTAGTTAACCCTTTCATCTCCATCTAGAGTGGAGGAACGGTACTAGTCTATGTTGTCAATGTTGTCATCCTGTGTGTCTTCCACTTACACAGATTTTTTTTTTTTTTTTTTTTTTTTTTTTTTTTGATTTTTGAGACAGGTTTTTTTCTGTGCAACAGTCCCAGAACTCATTCTGTAGACTAGGCTAGCCTCCAACTCACAAAGATCCACCTACCTCTGCCTCCCGAGTGCTGGTATTAAAGGCGAGTACAAATACTGCCTGGCCCTAGGTGGATCTTTTAAAACAAGAATCTTGCTGTCCTTCCTTGGTTCACATGTCTGAATAAACAGCATAGTGTCTAGATCCTGGTCTTAGTCATACTTGCTGCCTGCCTTGGCTGTAGACAAACTAACCATGTTCCGATTCCCTAACCTGGCCGTGGTCTTCTACCCAGGACTTTTGTTCTCACTCTTCTTCCTCAAATAGCCTTCCTGTCATGGCCAGGTGACACCCCTGGCTCTGTACCTCTCTAAGGTCCTGCTCTGGCAGGGATCGCTCATGGCCTCTTCTGGGTTTTGGCTTATGCCCTCCCACCCCCACCCACCTTCACCTGTGCTCAGGTTTCAGTCTTGCTTTCCAAAGTAAGCCCACAGACCCTAGCCCGGACCAGCCTCAGCTCACCTCCTCTTTCCACTGTTTTCTGGCTCGAGTCCTCCAGGGTTTCCCCTTCCTCATTTGCAAAGGGGATATGCAGACCCCTTTCTCCCACGGTTGCAGTGAGGGTCGTGTGTGTGTGTGTGTGTGTGTGTGTGTGTGTGTGTGTGTGTGTGTGTGTGTGTGTCTGTCTGTCTGTCTGTCTGTCTGTGGGCCATTTGGAGTGGCACCTGACATGTGAGGTGCTGAGCTCCAAATCAGATTCATGGTTATTGCTACTGCCAGTCAGTAAGGGTTCTTATTGATTAAATCCACTCCTACACTTCAGTTAGATTCTGATTTATTTTAGTTTTTCATCATCTGCCATTTGCATGCAGGAAAAAAAGCTTTTTTTTCCCTTAAAGTTTTAGAAATCAAAGTACTCTATTTTTTTTTTAAAGATTTTATATACAACATTCTGCTTCCATGTATATCTGCACACCAGCAGAGGGCACCAGATCTCATAACGATGGTTGTGGCCACCATGTGGTTGCCGGGAATTGAACTCAGGACCTCTGGAAGAGTAGTCAGTGCTCTTAACCTCTGAGCCATCTTTCCAGGCCCCAAGGCACTTTATTTATAAGCCAATGAGCTGCACTTAATATCCATACTTTTTAATATTTAAAAACGTCCAGATGTATATATAACCCTTAGGTATGTAGTCTTGTTCCACAAACAGGCATGCTTGAGTGACTGCCTCTTCCTCTCCCTCTCCCTGCAGCAGCTGGCAGCCATTGACCATTTTTCTGTCCTTGTAGTTTTGCTTATTCTAGAATTTACAACTGAGATCTGACAGTATTCTACTTACGCATGCCAAATCCTCTTAAAATAGACCTCAACTGCAAATAAAATGTCCCTTTGAGCAAAATGCCTGGGGAAAAAAAAAAAACAGGCGCATGATAGAAGCTGTTGAATAATTCAGCAGATGACAGACAGGATTCACCCCCCCTACCCCCCCAGACAAGGTTTCTCTGTACTGTTTTGGAGGCTGTCCTGGAAAACTCTCTGTAGACCAGACTGGCCTCGAACTCACAGAGATCCACCTGCCTCTGCCTCCTGAGTGCTGGGATTAAAGGTGTGCACCACCTCCTAGAGTGGAAGATGCAAGTTGAAGGGAGTGGGGTGTGTGTGTGTGTGTGTGTGTGTGTGTGTGTGTTTGTGTGTGTGTGTGTGTGTGTGTGTGTGGTACAGAAGCAAGTGGGGGAACGTTGTGGGCTTTGCTCGTTCACTCTCCATCTTATTTTCTTGAGGCAGGGTCTCTGACCTAACCTGGAGCTTGGCTGGCATCTATCGAGCCCCAGCATTCTTTCTGTTTTCGTCCCACATAGTGCCGTGGTTATGAGGATCCGTTGGACCACAGTCAGGTTTTTACATGGGTGCTAGGAATTTGAACTTGGGTCTTTCATGCTTCCATAGCAAGCGTATTCACCCATAGACCCCGTCCCACAAATATATTTTTGTGCACCCTGAAGAGCAGCTGGTATGTTGAAAGTGTCCATTTGATGGCATGTCCCCTTCTCTTCCCTTCTCTCCCTTCTCCCGAAGGTGTTTGTCTTTGGCACTCTCACGGAATGGCTGCACTTCTACAGCAAGTGGCTCTACTGTGGGTTGTGGATCGGGAACGGCCTGCTGCAGTCCACGGGCTGGCCCTGCGTGGTGGCTGTGATGGGCAACTGGTTTGGGAAAGCTGGGTATGTTGCTTCCATCCTCTAATTGCGTTAATGTTGGATCACTGAGTCTGGCAGCAGTATGTTACCTCGTGCTTTAGAATATGCCTTGTCTTCTCCGTTTAGAAACAGCAGTTCTGGGATAGAAGGTCCATGTGTGCTGTGGGCCTCAGTGACGGCCTGTACATACCCATTCCTACGGCTGTATTTCCCAGTTCATTCTTCTTAAGCCTCTCTCCTTTAGAAACTGTAATTGTCATGCTTAATGCCCCCTGTCATGCATGTTCCCTTGAGTTTAGCTTCCTTTGCCATATTTTGAGACTCTGTGGTTCCCTTATCATTGCATTAACAATAAGTAAACTTAGCTCAAAAGTTATCCATGGAAGCTGGGGACATAGCCCAGTACTAGAGCACTTGTGTAGCATGAAGAAGATCTGCCAGTACAGAAGAAAAAGTTACCCATGGGACGTGCCGAAGGTCACCAAAAAAGGGCCCTAATTCAGACGTTCCCACGATTTGGGGCTTACAGCCTCCCCCACCCCTCAACCTTCATGTTCGAGTGTGTTGGACTTGGCATGTGTGGTGTGGGCTGCAGGAGGAAGGGAGGTGCCATCTCCAAAGAAGGCGTGCTGAGTGCATAGGGTAGAAAATAGGTCAAGTGAAGCAGACTTGCTTTGTGGTTTAGCATTGTTTCAGAAGCATTGTTGCCTGGAGTTTAGTCATTTTCCCTGGATCAGTGTGTAAGTGTTGTGGGGGGTGTGCTTGCTTATCTCCTATCTGGCTTCTCTGCATGTTTGCTCTTATACATAGGAAATGGAGTACAAAGCAGACATTCCCCTTCCATTGTGGTGTTCGGTGCACACTCTTGCTGGCGCTTCTCAGCTTCCATCTTCCCCAGTTTCATAATGGGAGCTCACTTGGTCATTAGCAATGTGTAACGTTATGAAAGTTTACCTATAAACTGTCTTTGCAGATAAGTACCATTCAGAAGTGCTCCAGTTATATAACATATCTCAGTATGTTAGTGGCTTCTATTTCATTCTGACCTTAGGTCAGCAAGATTTCATTGAAAACGTGTTTCCTTTTTATATTTTGGGTTTTGCTTGCTTGTTTTTCAAGACAGGGTTTTTCTGTGTAACAGTCCTGAATGTCCTGGAACTCACTTTGTAGACCAGGCTGGCCTTGAACTCACAGAGATCCTCCTGCCTCTGCCTCCCAAGCACTGGGATTAAAGGCGTGCACCACCACAGCCTGGCTTGTTTGTTTTTAAGAATAGATGAAATTATTGGAATTGGAGATTGCACAGGACTTCATGCATACTGGGCAAGTGCTCTGCCACACAGTGGTAGCCCCTTCTCTCTCTCTCTCTCTCTCTCTCTCTCTCTCTCTCTCTCTCTTCTAAGATAGAGTCTTACTATATTGACCTGACTAGTGTAGACCAGGCTGGCTTCAAACTCAGAGATCCCTCTGCTCCACCTCCCAAGCATGTGCTACCACACCCAATTTAAAATTGGTGGTCTCTTTGTAGCCCTGGCTGGCCTTGAACTCCCAGAGATCTACTTGCCTCTTCCAGAGTACTATGATTATAGGAATGTGCCACCATGCCTGGCAGGAAGGCTTTGTGCTTTCAGGGCCATGGTGTGATGTTATTGATTGAAGGAAGCTAACTTGGTTTGCAGGGGCCTTGGGCTGTGTATTGAATGCCAACACTCAAATTGTCGCCCAGCATCGGAGTCTTTCAAGAATGTAATGCATGAAGGGAAAAGATGATAAAGTTATGAGTACTAAGGGAGAGTGGGTGTGTGCCTCAGCAGCCCAGCTGCCTGTGGTCCATCGTGGGTGTGGAGGAGTCTCTGATGGGACCTTCCATCTCTAGGGTACAGCCAACTGAAGTCCATGCATATGGGAGGAAGCCTTTGGGGTGGGATCCTACTGTAGAGCCCAGACAAGTTTTGAACTTGTAATCCTCTTGATCTGGCCTCTCCTGTACCTGGCAGCCTGATGGTAATGAAGCAGCTTCAGGGAGAGAGGTCAGGCTAGTATTGCTATAGACTCTGGCTTCTTGGGAACCCGTAGCAGTGATCCATGAAGTTCACTGAGACTGGCAAAGCTGAAAAAAATCACCGTTTCATAGGCCATACTCTTCTTAGTCACTTACCTAGGTCCTGGCTTGCTTACTTGCATCCTCCAAGGTCCCCTTGATGGGTTTTAGTATTTTTATAGTATTGGAACTTTTCATCTTTTTCTGTTTTTTTTTTTTTTTTTTTTTTTTTTTTTTTTTTTTTTTTTTTCTCCGTTGAGACAGGGTCTTGCCATGTAGCTTGGGTGCCTTGAACTTGCTGCGATCCTGCCCTAGATTTCCAAGTGCAGGGATTTGTGCACAAGCCACCATACCTGGCTTCTTGTCTTCAGTTCTTTTTCTACAAAGAATTCAAGACATCAGTATTGCTGGGCAAGTCCTTTGCCTCTGAGTTCAATGTCTAACCTCTACATGGAAATTCAATATCATTTAATCCTAGAAGAATGTGGCTGGGAAGTGGTAGCGCACACCTTTAATCCCAGCACTCGGGAGGCAGAGACAGGTGGATCTCTGTGAGCTCGTGGTTAGCCTGTTCTACAAAGTGAGTTCTAGAACAGTCAAGGCTACACAGAAAAATCCTGTCTCAGAAAACCAAAACCAAATCTGGTTTTATCGTTCTGATATATTTTTCAGATTTTAAATAGAATGTTGACACTTTGTAATGCACATCCTTACTGTTGAGCTATTTTTCATTTTGACCTCCACGTAGGATCCCTCTGACATACTGACATACTGCCTTTGGGTTTTCCCATTGTTTTCCTTAGCCGGGGAGTTGTCTTTGGTCTCTGGAGTGCCTGTGCTTCAGTGGGCAATATTTTGGGAGCGTGCCTGGCTTCATCTGTTCTGCAGTATGGTTATGAGGTAGGTGTTTCTTTCACAATTTGTGTGTGTACACTTGCCCTTGCTGTTGAACCCAAGGTGACCTTGAATTCCTCATCCTCTTCCTCTGCCCCAGTGCTGTGATTCCAGGTGTGCACCACCATGCCTGACGAAGAAGGGGCCACCATGTGTGATGTTATTGCTAGAAGGAAGCTAACTTGCTTTGCAGGGGCCTTGGGCTGTGTAATGGACACTAACACTCAGTGGTCCATTGTGGATGTGTAGGAACCTCTGAGGGCACCTTCTGTCTTCAGGGTCCACAGCCAACTAAGTGCATGCAGACAGGTGGAAGCCTATGGGTGGGGCATGCTCAGTTTGCTGAGCATGTGGCAGTCAGAATGGGGTGGCTCAAATGGAAGTAAGCCTGCACTTGTAGAAAGAGGAGTTAAGACACATCACTTTCTTTCTGACCTCTGGGCCTTTGGGATTATCACCATAAGATGTTGCCAGTTGTTTGGAGTGTTTTAACTGCTTTGAATTCCTGAAGAATCAAATGGCCAAGAAGCCCTAGGCATCCACCCCAAATAATTCCTAGGAGCTGGAGTGATGCTAGAAATGACACTCTTCTAAAAAAATGGTCCCTAGAGCTAACAGCAAAAGCTGGGCGGGCGTACTGATTGTGTTACAAGTGCTGGGTGTGTGGAGAGCTGAGCACTCCTTGTTCTGCTTCCCAATGTTTCTATGTGGGAATGAAGAAAAGTATTACAGATTATCTGAAAGCTTTGGAAAGACATTTTGGGTATTTTAAACAGTAAATTTTTTTTATAGAAAAATAAGGAGGTAAATAAGGGAGCAACAGAAAAACTATTCTATGTGTTCACTAGCTTTGTAAAATACAGTTTGGTAATCTGTTGTGACCTTGAGGTTGTGATGCAATGGGCTTGGCAGTTGTTGGCGATGTCTGTCAGGCCACAGCTACTCTGCCCGAGTCGTTCCACTTCCGGGAAGTAGTGGCACTGGTGAATGTGCTTACACACGTACAGTCAAATGTTATCTGTAGTTATCTCAACACTGTTGTGATGGCCAAAGACCGGAAGTATTTACACCTTCATGCACCTGTTGGAGGATGCTGTGTAGCTGTGACTTGGGGTCAGAAGCTCTGAACTGAAAGAGACCAGGACACTGGGAGGGTCTCAGACAGCAATCAGGCCAAGCAGTGTGCCCTGAGATGCCATTTGGAGAAAGGCAGAATGAAGATGATTGTATTAGCTTGCATTTTTCTAATGGTCCCTGGAGAGCAAAAACTATACAGCAGTGTTTTTATGTTGGGACAGTTGAGAATTGGATGGTTTAGAAAGGGACTGGGCAGGAAGAATCTACTCCACCTCTTAATGCTTGTTTTCTTGAGTAGATTGTCCGATCAGAAACCTAAATAACTAACAGCGAGGTGCTCTTTCAGAGACTAGGTATTTTGCTCCAGTAGAAGCCCATCATCTGTCACAGTCACTTTTTTGTATCTGTCACACCTGGATTATAGTAATTGGCCCAAATGTGAATTGCACTCACCCCTGTGCTGCTTCTCTTGGACCTGGTTTCTGGAAATACAGCTTTAATTTTTGTCATTCACTTGTTTAAAAATTCTCTATCCATAAGGCAGCTGTACAGCCTGGCCGCTGAGTCTTGCATCCTGACATCTGCCTCCTGTGGTAGTTTTCTTCCCTGTGGTCCTGGGCAGAAGCCCTGCCCTATGGTCTGCAGTGAGCTCTGTGAGCACCCCTCCCCTATGGTCTACGGTGAGCTCCCCTCCCCTAAGGCCTTCAGTGAGCTCCCCTCCTCTAAGGCCTGCAGTGAGCTCCCCTCCCCTAAGGTCTGCAGTGAGCTCCCCTCCCCTATGGTCTGCAGTGAGCACCCCTCCCCTATGGTCTGCAGTGAGCTCCCCTCCCCTATGACCTGCAGTGAGCTCCCCTCCCCTAAGGTCTGCAGTGAGCTCCCCTCCCCTATGGCCTGCAGTGAGCTCCCCTCCCCTAAGGCCTGCAGTGAGCTCCCCTCCCCTATGATCTGCAGTGAGCTCCCCTCCTATAAGGCCTGCAGTGAGCTCCCCTCCCCTATGATCTGCAGTGAGCTCCCCTCCTATAAGGCCTGCAGTGAGCTCCCCTCCCCTAAGGTCTGCAGTGAGCTCCCCTCCCCTATGGTCTGCAGTGAGCACCCCTCCCCTATGGTCTACGGTGAGCTCCCCTCCCCTAAGGCCTTCAGTGAGCTCCCCTCCTCTAAGGCCTGCAGTGAGCTCCCCTCCCCTAAGGTCTGCAGTGAGCACCCCTCCCCTAAGGTCTGCAGTGAGCACCCCTCCCCTAAGGTCTGCAGTGAGCACCCCTCCCCTAAGATCTGCAGTGAGCGCCCCTCCACTATGACCTGCAGTGAGCGCCCATCTCATCCCCAGGCTGCCAGCCCCTCTGCTTGTCCCTAGTTCTTGTCCCTAGGAAGATGTGCCCTTAAACATGGTGTAGCTGTGTCAGCCTCCTTTTAGCTGTTCTTCTTTTGATTCCTGTGTGTTTCTACTAGGGCTGGGTCTTCTTGTTTATTTAGCTGCATGCCACCTTTTCATATTGGGCTGGGTGCTGTTTAATCCCCTCAACTGGATACAACATCTTCAGGGGCAGATACTATGTGTTTGTAGGATTTGAGATGATGAAAAGAGTGAGATTTGAGGGCTAACCCTGTTTTTCTATCCTAATCGTGTCACTTAGTATCCAGGGGACCCTAACGATCCTCCGTGAGCTCCGCTGTGTCCTTAGGAAAATGTAAGGACACTTGACACAGCCTGGAAGCCCTGGCTTCTGAAGTCCTCCGGGAGCACTCTTGCTGCCTCTCCTGCCCCATCCTCCCTATGTATGTGTGATGAGCATAGCTGTGATGATCAGTTCTGTGTAAGGCCACCTCAGCTGTCTCTCCTCTCCTCCAGTACGCCTTTCTGGTGACCGCGTCCGTGCAGTTTGCTGGTGGGATCGTCATCTTCTTTGGACTCCTAGTGTCTCCAGAAGAAATTGGTGAGGAGAAGTCATCTCTTCCGTTCAGAATATCTTACTGTTGGGAGCCGAGGGAAGTCCAAGGACAGGAAATGGAATTCTCAGAGGGAAGCTACACACTCTTCTGAGGTGTTAAAGGCGCAGTTTTTCCCTGTGCCTCCGGTCCAGTTGCAGCCAAGTCTATTACCACTGCAGGTGCTTGAGGGGAGTGAGGCTCACATTTGAGTGCAGGAAGAACCCAGCATTCCTAGACCATTAGTGCGGTTGAGACATTGGCTAAGAATGTAACATCTTGAGACTGGGTTCTTTTCCTTTATAAAAATGATTCGGTTTGCTACTTTCTTCCGGTTAATTATGGAGTGTGTGTAAGTGAGGCTGCAGGAGCAGAGGGGTGTGCAGCTCTTCTGAGCTTTGAACTTGAGCCTTAATTGGCTTTAGTTTCCTTGGTGTCTAGGCCTTGGTTGGGTCTTTTACCAAAGGAAAATTAAAACAGCATCAGCCCTTTAAGTAGCGATGCATGCAAAGCCTGATACAGGACCAGGTACACAGGCCAGTGCTCTGTAAATGCTCACTGTCACTGCTGTCCTAGGTCTCCCGAGTATTGAGGCAGAAGAAAACTCGGAAGAAGATTCACACAGGCCTCTCATCCATGGTGCTGAAAATGAAGATGAATACGAGCCTAACTATTCAATCCAGGAGGACGGGGCTGTCACCCAAGCGAAGGCAATCAGCTTCCATCAGGCTTGCTGCCTTCCTGGAGTCATACCAGTAAGGACTGGCTTGTCTCCTTCCACAGCTGGCCAGGAGCCATGCTGCTTTCATTTTTCTAATATATTTGAGATGCTTATGTAGCATCCGTCAGCTTCCCTGATAGCCATGAAAGACCAGAGACTAAATATCTGCAGTTTAATTGCTTTAATCTGGAGCACCTAGGAGCTGCAGATGGGCATGGCCAGAGGTGACCCTTGAACCTGCCAACCCTGACCTAGCATGCAACTCCGAAGACAAAAAGAACAGCTTTTTAAATGCGTATTTTGAGTGTGTTGAATTTTCATGGACCAAGAAGGCTTTTGAATGGTTCATTATCTGCCTTATTTGTGACCTCTGGTCATTTCAGAGAGTAGGGAGTTCCCTGTTCAGGACAGAATTCTCAATATTTCTTGATAACACATCCCAGTGTTCCCACATCCTTTGTAGTTAGGACAACCTCCATCTGAGCCGAACCCCTTCTGCTACAGGCTGTCTGTCTTGATGTTTTGAGTGCCCTACCACTGGAGTAGAAGCTAAGAGTCCTAGGTTGTGTTTCCAGCCTCCCCACCTGGGTAAGTCACCCAACCCATCCTTGAGACTCAGTCCCCCTTCCTGAGGGATGGAGATGCCACCCACTTGCCTGGGTCTAGAACACTGGCTCTTTGTGTAGTTGACAAGGCACCTGCTTTTGCCACCATGTTTTCACGATGCTTCCAAATTTTCTCCCACTCCCATTTTAGTCAGTCTGTAGGCCATCCTCTTCTGTCCCTCTCGGCTCTCCTCTGCCCTGTGTCTCTTTGCTAAAAACAAACAAACAAAAACTAACCCTTCCAACAGGTAGCCAAGTGTCAGTCAAATATAAGTGTAACACCCCGTCATGCTTGACTCCAACGACAGTGGCTGGTGTTGGGAAACTCTGGTTCTTGTAGCCCTATTCTTACAAAGATCCAGTCTTTCAGTTATTAATATTTTGCTGGTAGTTGCTTTGGTTGAGACAGAACGTCGGTTTGTTGTGATCAAACAAGAAATTCATTTGCTGGTTCCTTTGTGCTTCAGAAGCCATTGTTCTCTAGCATGGGTTGGGCGGGGTGGAAAGGAAGTCTAGTTAGCCCTATGCTTTTGTCTTTGTAGCAGACTGTGGGCAGAGAGCTCTGCTGGTTGAGATTTGGCTCTCTACGGGGTGGCTGCTGCCCTGCCAGGGAAGCTCTTTTAAAACAAGTGGCACCTGGGGAATAGCTGGCGCTCAGGGGCTGGGGTATATTAGCCAGACACCCTTTGAAGTCACCCTCTGCTTCCGCCTTCCCTTTGATGCTAATAGTCAGGGTCTCCTGGTAATAGTGTGCTTGGATACAGGAGTCTCAGCCATCACCCACTTAAGGCAGCTCTCTTTCAAAAGAGAGCCAGGAGGCCAGTCATGACCACATCCCTTCGTTTTTTGGCCCACCAGAGATACTCTCCTGTGTGGGATGTGTAGGGCTTTTTGGAAGCTCTAATATGAAAGTGGTCCTCAGGGTAGCTGTCTTTCCTGTCTGTGACTGGGTCACAGGTCACATTACTCTCCATAGTTTACAGCATTAACTTGGTAGGAAGAGAACCAAGAAAGTCTGGCTGCCTGCAGTATGAGCTGAGATGGTTGCTGGGCTGACTTGTCTGGCTGATGTGGGCTGGCAGCATGGATGCCACGGACCTTTTGTCTGAATAAAGAAATGCGGGTCCAGCACGTGTCGCCTTCTGGGTTCCAAACACTGGCTTGCTTTTACCAGAGAAATGGTCAGAAAAGAAACTGGGGATAGTTAAGAAAAAAAAGTACTTTTTTTTTTTTTAATTTAAATTTTAAGGTCTTTTTAGAAACCAAGGAGAGTAAAGAGAAGAGGGCTCCCGGGGAAAGTCAGGGAGATGACACTGTGCCGTTTGCCGCTTGTTGATAGCTGTGTTTTTCTTACAGTACTCACTGGCCTATGCCTGCCTGAAGCTGGTGAATTACTCCTTCTTCTTCTGGTTGCCCTTTTATCTGAGTAACAACTTCAGGTGGAAGGAAGCCGAAGCCGACAAGCTGTCCATTTGGTACGATGTCGGAGGCATTGTAGGTATGCACGTGTGCATCTCCTTCCACACAGTTAGGAGATCTTACTTCATTTGAGGTTTTACTGCTTGCTCTGCAGCCATCTTTCCCAACCCCATCCTACCAGTAAACATGCAAACTTGTGTGAGAACAAAAAGTCCATAGAAAGGAGGGCCAGCCTGAGACTGCTGTGAGCCATAGGCTGTCTTTTCTTAGTCTTTGGTTGATGGATCAGTCCTTTTGTCTTGGGAACACTCGGGAATCTCTTTAAATGCAGCCCCTTTGTATGCTTTCAGGGGTGGCTTGCCTTTGAAGCTGATTTTGTGAGAGATTCAAGATGGAGTGGGAATGTGTTCATTTTGGCCTCCTCCCTCTGTCCCACTGTTTCCAGTTAAGGAAGCAAGCACAGCACCTTACTGGGTAGATTGTCAGACATCAGAGGATGGAAGAGCAGGGATTTTCCTTTTCTTTCTTGTGTGTGTGTCTGTGTTTGCAGTTGCCTTGCTATATGCAGCAGATTTATTTTCCAGACTGGGGATTGAACCCTGGACTTTGTGTTTTACCAGTGGCTTTGTAGTATAGCCAGAAATACAAACAAGGAAATCATAAACTTTTAAACAAGACCAACAGATGCACACTGTGGCGCCCCACCTTAGCATCTCTGTCTTTGTAATGTTTACACACAGAGTTACAGTAAAAACAAGCTACCCTGAGCGCATGGAGGGCACAGTAGGTGGCTCACTGGCATTCTGTCTGAACTCAGCTCTTGGTAGTCTTAGGCCCAGAGCCAGAGGTGATGTAGACATCCTGAGACCTGTGCATAGTCTGTGTGCTTCAGAATTAAAGGTACCTGGTGCAGAAGGAAAGAAGGTGGTTTGGAGATGCAGCTCAGGGCTCTGTTGATAGCCCATGAGGTGCCTTCCTTAAACTTGGTGTTGTTGAGGCCGGGCCTCACAAGCTCCCAGGAAGCAACCTGAGCTGCTTTCCATCTGTGATCTACCTGCTCCTGCCAGGGTGACAGGGGTACAGGTTCTCCTAGTTAATTCACCATGCTTTAAATCAAAGTGGAGAAAATCCAGGGGATCACTTCCCTCTGTACGGTAGGGAAAGTAGTCAATACAGATAATGAAGGTTTTGATGGTTTTCTTTTTTCTTACTTTGATGCTTGATTTGTGGTATTCAGTACAGTGGCAGTCACTGTGAGGACAGGAGATTTGGGAGAGCCAGCTGTGTCTGTGGCCCCCGAGGAGCTTGCCTCAGACAGCTTTGTCCAGCCGTGGATGCTTTCCACTGACGTGTGTGTTCTTTGTGCTTGCAGGTGGAACACTGCAAGGCTTCATCTCTGATGTGCTACAGAAGAGAGCACCTGTGCTGGCCCTCAGCCTGTTCCTGGCAGTTGGGTCCCTTGTTGGTTATAGTCGTGAGTATTCCTTTGCAGTTACCTTGATTCCTGATCTTTTGACCCAGAGTCAGCCATCAGCCATGAAGAGAAGCCATGATGAGCTGAGTGCCTGGGAACTGTCGTCACGTGGTTTTATTTGTGTGGGGAGGAAACAGGCATCTCTCCTGCTTTGTGGGTCTGTTTAAAAGCTTGCTTGGGAGTAGACTGCTTTGTTTGAGGGGCGGCTCCAGAGGAGCAGCATTAGTGCCAATAAAACCATAAAAGGGGGCAAGGTTTCCAAAGCGGGAAGACGGTAATTAGTAGGCCTTGGTGTGTGCATGTGTGTAAAGATGGTACAGTCCTTCTGTGGCTTTTAGACATCTCATTAGCTTGAGCAGCAGCCAGAGGCAGACAGGACAAAAGCTGGAAGGGGCGGTGAGAGTCATCTGTCTTTGTTGTCTCTGGAGGGATTGTGAGGTATTGGAGGTGCAGCGCTGTGCACTGTTGACTGCTTTTCTAGTCACTGTTGTGTGTGTCTCTTCTCTCACAGGCTCTCCAAACAATAAGTCTATCAATGCTCTTCTGATGACCATTACAGGTACGGTAGAACACTTCGCTGTTCTCTGGGAGTTCAGAGCACACGGTCTCCCACAAATGGACTGACACTAAAACCTTGGCCTGTAGAACTCAAGTGACAGGAAGATAGCTGCCTCCTTTACTACCTTCTCCCCTCTGCTTGGGGCTGACTCCCTCAATCCTCTGACAAAAGCTTTCCCTGTGGAGAGATGTCCTAAACATTTCAATTGCTGCCCCAGGCCTGAATTTAACTTCAGAAAGTGACTTAGGTGTCACAATAGAATCCCATCCACCAGCTTATGGAAGTCCAGGACAGCTAGCTTTTTCTTCTTTGCCAGACTGGGTCAGCATTTTCCTGAGCACTAGGTAAAATAGTTGGGTACAGTTAAGGAACGTGTTATGAAAAAAATATTGAAGTCATCTTTTAATTCAGCAAGATGTGTGACTCTGATTCTGCTAAGATGGCCCATTTTACAAGAGCCAAGCCACACCTATCTGTGGGTCGGCCTCATGAGAGCAGTGACAGGCAGTGTCCCTGTGCCTTTGAAACAGGGCTGTCTTGTCCCTCTCCAGTGTGTTAGTTGACTTGGGTGGGTGGAGCAATAGGAAGGCTGTGTGTTCCTCTTTACTGCTCTTACCCTTAGGCTGTATATATACTAGGGTGCCACAGCATTCCACAGGGGATTTTCATTTCTCCCCAGCGTGTGGATTAAGACATTGGGATGATATTTTGTCTTACTTGGCTAGAGTTTGGGATCATATTTTAACCTGAATCTGTTCTCTTTATGGCTTCAGGGTTTTTTATTGGCGGACCGTCCAATATGATTAGCTCTGCTATTTCTGCAGACTTGGGTCGCCAAGAGCTGATCCAAGGGAGCAGTGAGGCTCTGGCGACTGTCACAGGAATCGTTGATGGAACTGGGAGTATCGGTGCTGCTGTGGGCCAGGTAAGAAAAGCATGGCTCCCACAGTAGGTGGCGCTCTTGTGTTGTGGACCACTGTACAGAAAGTGGGACCTAATGTGGAAGGCATCTCCCATGGCCATAGATTTTGTAGCTACCTCTTAGTGTAGTCTGTGTTCTCCATGCCCAGACATCGATGACTGGTCCCAGAGGGTGACTTAGGTATCCCGTAGTGGAGTCATCTGAGATGCAAGAGCACTGGAGGTCTGTGAGTATGCTGGGATGGAACCTGTTGACCTGTAAATTCCCATGCAGGTGCTGGAGAGCCCCAAGACTGAGACTGCCCTACTGTAGCAGTCAGAGTGACTTGACATTGAAGGTTTGCCTGGGTAGTGGAGTGAATCTCAGATAGCTGATGGTGGGTGTCAGTGAGGGAACAAGCAGTGAGGGACGGTACATATCCCTCCTGATACCCTGATGTCACCCAGCCACGCCATAGATGTTTCTCAGTGTCTGCTGGCTCCAGTAATGCAGACTCTGTGAGGGCAGCATCATGGTTCAGTTCCCCCTGTAGCCTTACCAGGTACTGCCTGGCACACAGGAGACATGCTGGTTCCGAATCACTGTACAATAAATAAATGGCTAACACAGTTAGAACGTTTGACTATATATGATTAGGGGACAAAAACATAAAAAAAAAAAAAATAACAAGGGTAGGAGAATTACTTCTGCATGCTCTGGGGTAGAAATCAAATAGCTACTATCACCCATTCAGAAGGCTTCATGTCTGAGGGGATGGCGAATAGCATTTTATTTTATACACTTGGGTATTTGTGTGTGTGAGTATGTGGCCGTGTGTGTGTGTGTGTGTGTGTGTGTGTGTGTGTGTGTGCTGTGTGGTGCATGTGTAGAAGGCAGAACAGCCTGCCAGAGTCTGCTCTTTTTCTCTACTGTGTGGGTCCTGGAGCTTGAACTCAGGCCTTTATCCTCTGAGTCATCTTTCCAACCCAGCATACTGAGTATTTTAAATTGGTCCTCACCAGGGCTGTCTAAGTGAGCCAGGCCGGTAATTGTAATTGATATTGCAGACATTTTACTTTGAGTTTTCTTTTTCCTTTTTGTGGAGAGTTTCTCACATAGCCAAGGCTGACGTCGAGCTTGCTGTGTAGAATATAGCATGACCTTTAGTTCCCGGTCCACCTCCCAAGGACTGGGATAACAGACCTGTGTATCCATGCCTGACTACTGGGAGTCTTATTCCTATATGTCTCACTCATCAGTGTTCCCAATTCTAATGGTGAACCTGGCTCACCATCAGACTGATCCCCACAGAGAGGCAAGTGGGTCAGGAATAAATCATTCTTAGCTATGTTCATTCCTTCTTTGGGAGTTTTTGTTTTGTTTTGTTTTGTTTTGTTTTCTCAGATGGTCCTGGCTGTTCTGCAACTCAGATAGTTGTAGACCAGGCTGGACTCGAACTCAGAGATCTGTCTGCCTCTGCTCCCCGAGTACTGGTTGGTATTAAAGGCGTGACCACCATGCCTGGCCTCTTGGGGTTTTTGAATGATTTGCCTTTGCCTTACAAACTCTGTCAGCCTTGCCCTCAGCCATTCCCTGGGCCTCTCCAAGTGATGGCGTTGCCTCTGCCTTCCCCAGACCTTTCAAGAATTTGTTGTTTTTTCTCCTGATTGCTGTAGCAGTTGGTACACACCTCCAGAATACCCATTACACATGATGGTCAACTTGCTTGTTTGGGTCTCTGTCCTCTGTACCAGAGTCTGCATTTCTTCAAAACCAGATTGTTCCAAACGGAGCATGATGGCACACACTTGTAACCCCAGCAGGAGTGCTTTGAGTCTAAGGTCAGCCTGGGCTGTATAGTGATAACCAGGCCATCCAAGGCATAGCAGGGTCCTGTCTCTAAAAACCTAAAATAAAACAAACTGTCTCATCTGCCTTTGTATTCCCAAAGCTTAAAATGCTGTTTATTTTGTGTGTATGTGTGTAGGCATACTTGTGGTATGTCACACGTGGAGGTCAGAGGACAATTTGTGGAAGTCAGTTCTTTGATTCTAGTATTGGGTTCTGGAGATCAGACTCAGGTTGTCAAGCTTGGTAGCAAGGGTCCTTAACTACTGGGCCATTTCACCAGCCCCCTTAGTGCATTTTGGACACATATTTGGGAGTTAGATCCAACTGCATTGTTTACTAAGGAGAAATAAGAACAAAGAACATACATCCACGATGAAACTTAGACAGGTGTTAGTTGCTAAATGTAGAAACAGTCCAGGTGTCCAGCTGCGGATGAGTGCATAAACAGAATGGGGCACATCCATGCAGGTGAGTGTTATCCACCAGTTACAAAGTAACAGATGCTGGGGAGATGCCGCAACATAGATGAACCTCAGCGATATGCCAAGGAAAAGAAGCCAATCATGGGAAACACAGTGTACTTTCGTTCAGATAAAATGTCTAAAACTGGTAAATTTACAAGGAAAAGACTGGATGGATCGGTGTTTGTACCAGGTTGAGTGAGGAATGATGGACATCTTTTATTTTATTTTATTTTTATTTATTTATTTATTTTGGTTTTTCAAGACAGGGTTTCTCTGTGTAGCTTTGGAGCCTATCCTGGCACTCGCTCTGGAGACCAGGCTGGCCTCGAACTCACAGAGATCCACCTACCTCTGCCTCCCAAGTGCTGAGATTAAAGGCACCACCAACATGGACATCTTTTAGAGCTGGTCATAACATTGCAAAATGGCATTAACGATTGGTTGCATAAACTCAGTACACTAAAAAACATTGTGCTCTGCCCTTCTGGTGGTGGATTTTTATGTCATACAAATTGCACATTGACACACATTCTTTTTTTTTTTAAATGTAGAGTTATAGGAGTGATGAGATGGTTCAGTGGGAAGAGACACTTGTTTCGGTCCTGACCGCCTGACCACCTTCGAAACCATAGGGTAGAATGAGAACTGACCTCCACAGGTTGCCCTTTGATCTCCAAATGTACAGTGGTGTGTGTTTGAGCACACAGTTACAGGCAATGAGTAAGAAAAATGTTGTGGGGTTTTGTTTTTTTTAACAGTTAAAGGAAAGATAAATCTTTCTTTCAAAGTTAGAGTTCCAGTTATTGGAGGCTGCCATGCCCCTGAAGCTCTGATGGGATGATGCTTGGACTTTTGTGGGTATGTGAGCTCACGCTGCTCTCCAGGCTGGCCTTGAACTCAGTCTTTCTCCCCATTCTCCTGGGTGCTGCCACTGCATCCAGCTGTACTTGGGCTTTCTCTGTTTATGATAGGATCCAGGCTACATCACTCAGTCACTCTGCTTTAGTTTTTCCCAGCACGTATTTTAGTAATAATGTGGTCAATACGGGTTACCTCATCTGTGTGATGGTCAGGTGATTTGCATTGCTAGTATCAAGACGTTTAGCAAGGGAAAGTGGTCTCTTAGGCAGTGGTGTGGGAAAAACTAGATAGATATCCATGTGAAAAGAATGTAGTTGGATCCTTACTTTATACTCCGCAACAACGAACTCAGAATGGATCAAGGATCTAACTTTAAGGGCTAAAATGATGAAATTCTTAGAAGAAAACATAGGGACAAATTTTGATATAAAAATGGCTAATTTGATACATGGGAAGATTCTTAGTAGGGAAATACAAATCAGATCCACACTGAGGTCTGACTTGGTGCCCGGTGAGGATGGCTAATATTAAAAAGCAGGAAATAGGGGCTGTAGAGATGGCTCCGTAGGTAAGAGCACCAGCTACTCTTCGAGAGAACCCAGATTCAGTTCCTAGCACCCACGTGATGGTTTGCAATTGGCTGTGACTCTAGTGCCAGAGGATCTGTGCCCGTTTCTGGCCCCCATGGAACCAGGCATTCATATGGTTCACATCTGTGTGTCCAAGCAAAATCAGAGCCATATACTGCTGGTTGCTTGTATAAGCATAAACAAAATGGTGGAGCTTTTGTGGAAAATGTGCTCGCTCTCTCTCCCTCTCTCTCTCTGTCTCTCTCTGTCTCTCTCTGTCTCTCTCTGTCTCTCTCTGTCTCTCTCTCTCTCTCTCACACACACACACACACACACACACACACACACACACACACGGTACGACTGCATTACCTTCCCTTTCCCCAGCTGGAAAACAAGAACAAGAACTAATATTTGTATGCTGGTGTTCATTACAGGGTTATTCATAGACAGAAGGTGGAAACAGGCATCTAACAGATGACTGAATTAAAAATGTGGTATATACATTCAGTGGAATTCTATTCACCCAAGAAAAGGAATGAAATGCTGATGCCTGTTTACTGTACGGTTGAACATTGAAAACTGGCCAAATGAATAACTAATAAGCCAGATTAGGGGAAAATTTATTTATAAGAAATATCTATAACAGGCAAATTCACAACTTCAGAAAGTAAATTAGAAGTTACTAAGTCAGGTTTGGTGGTACATCCATGTAATCTCAGCACTTGGAAGACTGGAACAAGAGGATTGCCACAAATTCAAGACTGTCCTAGACTGTATGAGTTCAAGACCAGCCTAGGCTACAGAATGAGACCCTGACTTTGCGGAGAAGAAAACAACAACAAAATAGAACTTGCCAGTGGCTAGGATTGTGGGTGCTGTGATTTACAGAACTTTTGCTGTAGATAAAAAGATTTGAGAAGTGTGCAACCAAGTGTTGTGGTTGTACATCATTGTGGCTATAATTGATGCTACTGACTTATGTATTTAAAAATGGTTACAATAGTGGAGAGATGGCCAGAGGACTATTAGGATCCCAGCCTTTAGGTAACAAGCTGGGAACCCCAGGCTTACCTATAACCCCAACTCTGAGGGAGCCCTCGACAGGAGGATTGCTGGGACTCACTGGCTAGCTGAGAAAAACATGGTCCCTGTGTTTGGGAAACCTCAAAGGAATAGACAGTGTGATGGAGGAGGACACCCGATGCCCTCTTCCAGCTTTTGCACTTGGGCACAAGCTGGGGCACCTGCACATACAGCATACATGTACACACACACACACACACACACACACACACACACACACAAACACACACACACACACACACACACAAATAAAATGGTAAATTTTATGTTAAATATTCCTGTAATAAAGTGAGGCAGCCGTGGGAGAGCTGGAGTAAGTGCTCTTAGCTTCTTTTCAGTAATTGAAAGTTAAGAGAAGCCAGGTGGTGGTGGCACACCCCTTTAATCCCAGCACTCAGGAGGCAGGGGCAGTCGGATCTCTGTGAGTTTGAGGCCAGCCTGGTCTACAAAGTGACGACAGCTAGGGCTACACAGAGAAACCTTTTCTTGAACTAAAACAAAGAAACAAGGAAAGGGGAAAGACTTAGGTTGTGGAACGTTGGTAACATTGTAACGCTGTGAGCAGATCACGCTGTGGTTGGGAATAGAGCAGGGCATTTGAGGCTGCTCTTACTGAACTTGTAGCCCCTCAGGCCTACATAGTAAGACTGTGTCTCAGAAACACATAAAAAGGGAAAAGGAAGAAAAGCAGCGTAGGGAGACAGCTTGTTCTGAAAGTGTTGGCTCTAGGACCTTCCCCTGGGAGATGAGGAGGGAGCAGGAGACAGGGTACTGACTGCTCTTCCTCTCAAGAGCAAACCTCCAGGCATACATCTTCGTCTGCAGAAGATACAAATGGAACCAGGGTGGTGGGCCAAGCCTGTAGTCATCACCAGCATGCAGACTGACAGCGTGAGTTTCAAGCCAGCCTGGGCATGGTGAGATCCTGTCTCCAAATGGGAACATGTATGTGGAAGAGCTTGGTCAACGACAAGATGTTGTTGAAACGCTAGCTCCTGATTTTCCAGAGTAATCTTGTCTAATCTCATTTTAAACGACTTTATCTCGTGTATTTTCTGTGTATGAGTCTTTTGCCTTCGTTGATATGCATGCGTCGTGTGATGTCCGGTGCCTGCAGAGGCCAGAAGAGGGCGTTGGTTCCTCTGAGCTGGAGCTACAGGTGGTTATGACTAAGAGCAGCTGGGCCATCTCTTTCTGCAAGGCCCTGACTCCTATTTCCTTGAGGCAGAGTCTCACAGACTGGTCTCGAAGTGGCTATGGGATAGAGGATGACCTTGAACTGTTGATCCACCTTCCACGGGCTGGTTCATAGGCATGCACCAGGGTGTTCAGTTTATGTGTTGTTGAGGGGGTTGAACCCAAGGCCTTGTGAATGTTAACTAAACACTCTACCAAACAGAGCTTTGTCCCAGCCCTTACATTGTTAATTTATGAAGAATTATATTGTAATTTCCTTTTCTCCTTTTTAGTATCTGGTGTCTTTGATCCAGGACAACCTGGGATGGATGTGGGTTTTCTACTTTTTCATTCTCATGGTAAGCATGTGCTTTTTTCCCTTTAACCGTTTTTCCTATTTAACTTAGGACATTTGCTTTCATCACTGCTTGAAACCACAAAATTGCTGATTGCTTTTAAAGACTTCAGTGTGAAAAGTAACATTTGATTAGGCTGAAAAGACTCATGTCTTTTCTCAAGGCGCTAAAGGGCCCAGAGTTTGCCTGTCGCGACCTGAGACTAATGAGTGTTGCCATTTACAATTCCAGAGAAGCAAGAGGCTCCCTCATACATCGCCAACCATTAATCAGTGTGCTCCTCTGGGCTGCTGACTGGCTGCTAAACAGGCCTTGAGAATTCTGAAGCAAAGCAACAATGTTACAAAGAAGTGAGGCTCTAATTAACACGTCCGCAGGGGCAGTTGTTCAGCTATCGAGTCTTGCCTGAGACGTTGTGCTTTGTGAGAAAAAGCCTAAAAGGCCCTGCTCTTAAAATGCTGCTTTCTGTTGAAAAGGCCTGTGACAGATTTAGTTATATTGTTGATGGGACATTGCTCATGACAGGTCAACTCGACCTCATCTGTGGAAGACTTATTCTTGAAACCAGGCATCCTAATTGGCCACCGTCACCTAATTCTAGGCAGCGGCCTCTAGCCTGTTCCAAGGATGAGCAGGATAGGTGAACATGACGGAGTCCCTGGGGCTGTCTTCTCCCGCCTCTAAGGACTCAGCTTTGGTGACGCACACTTGTAATGCCAGCACTTGGGAGGCAGAGGCAGGAGGATTCTAAGTTGAGGGCCAGCCTGAAAGACCTTGTCTTTAAAGAAAAAGTGCATTTGTTTCCAGGATTCATTTGTGGGCAAGGGATGCATTGTGCTTAAGGCCCAGAGTTCAGTTCCCAGCACTGCAAAACAAAAAGGAGATGGCACAGTAAAAGTCCAAGCTATACAGTTTGATACCCAGAATCTATAAAAAGCCAGATGTGGTACACATCTCTGATCCCAGAACTCCTCCTGAGAGGTGGAAGGTGGAAACAGGAAAACCATCCAGCAACTTGCAGGCCAGCCAAGCTGGAGTGGTAGCTCATCAGCAGAAATGTCAGAGCTGTGTCTGCCTGGCACCCACATAGTGGAGGACAAGGGCCAACTCCTCCAGGCTGTTCTCTGACCTCCACACATGTGCTGTGGCACCTGCATACACATGTGTACCAACACACATGTGGGTACTCATGCTCTCGTCCCCCCACTAAGTAAGTACATTTAAAATGAATAAAAAGACCTGCTAAGTAGAGGGATATGAGACTTCCGGATCTGCTGTGAGAAGCCCACCTTTAATCCCAGCACTCAGGAGGCAGAGGCAGGTGAATCTATGATTTCAAGACTAGCCTGATCTCCAGAGAGAGTTCTAGGATAGACAAGGCTGTTACATAGAGAACCCTGTCTCAAAAAACCAAAAAAGAAAAAAAGAAGCCCAACTTTTGTCTGGGCTCAGGTGACTTGTTTTGCCCATGGCAGTGGCACACTTCAGTTATTTTTTGGACAGCTAATGTGACATTATGTGTTTGTGGTCCTAACTCTAACTTTCAAAAGTCATTTTCTAATTCACTGAAGACAGACAGTTTTCTTTCTGTGAAGTCAGAATGCACTTGCCCAAACCCATTGCTAATGTTCAAATCATGATGCTCTAACAGCAGAAGTAAGTTGTTGCTTCATTTTAAAAACTTTTTTCTTTTCACAGACAAGTTGTACAATTCTGTTTATCTCACCATTAATAGTGAGGGAAGTGTTCTCTCTTGTGCAAAGGAGACAAGCTCGCGTACTGAGTGAATGATAGGGGCCCACAGGAGAGAGCAAACGGATGGACTCACGAGGGCCTGTAGGTCTTCAGTTCAGTCGTGTGGAGTTGCCAAAGCACCAGCGGGGCCTCACCCTGTCAGGCACCCTACAACACTGCCCCTGCTCCTGACACTGTCGAAGAAGGGCCGAATTATTTTTGTACACTACAGCAGTTACTGATGACTTTTTTAAAATTATATTTATGAATGTACTGAAAGCAAAAAGGAGCCTGCCAACATCTTTGTTGGGCCTGTCAGCTCATCCCTTTAACCGGACATGTGATTTTGGTCCTGGACTCTTGTCCTTCAGCCTTAATTAAGGGCTAAGGGAGCAAGAGGCAGAGTCAGGCAGGTTTGTATTGATGAGAACACTGCCGTGTGATACTCTGAAAGCAAGTTTGCAGAAAGTGGATCACCATGGAGGCGTCTGAGCAGAGCTCAGGACAGAAGAAGCTACGGCCCCGCCTTGGGCAGATTGATGATGGCTTTGTGCTTGTGGCTGGGTCACTCTGGCTTCTGGAAGTCCTCGTCCTCTCTAGAGTGGCTGTCAGCTTGTTTTCCAACTTCACCGAGTTTGACTGACTCCTAGGAGTAGTCTTCCTTACACTCATGAGCTGCAAGTTATCTCCAACATTCCATGTGGAGCTTTCAACCTCAGATTTACTGTCTGGGAACTTTAAGACCCTCCAGGAAGCCATGCTGTGTAGGCATATTCTTGGAAAAATTGATGTCGGTCACAGCCGGGTCCATGGAGTTACCTCAGAAGAAGACTAGAATGAGAGACAAGGCAGAGGCTCTTTGTTGCGGGATGTGGAGTGTATGTATTGAATCATGTTGGTGGATTGTTAGGGCCTGAGGCCTGCCCGTTGTAGAAGATGGTAGAGTGTATGTCTTCAAGACTGAGTTCTATAGGCATCAACACTTTCAGGTCATTCTGTACGTACATTTTAAATTACGTAAACAAACAAGGAGGGCCACCTAATTTACATTGGGTCAGGGAATATTCTTCCCCTTCCTTTATGCTTCAAAATATGTGTTGACGAACTTGTTACTTAATCTTGCAGACTTCTGATCACTGACATAAAGGGAAAACACAAAACATAGGAAGGGAGGGAAAAAAATAAGACCAGCCTTTTGTAATAAATGTCCAGCCGTTTGTTGATTTAGTCTCTGCTTAAGTTCTGCCTTGCCTCTCATTTTCCCTTTCCATGGTACTGGGGTGGTGCACGCATTGCCCTCGCCCAGCGCGTGTCTCTCACTGTGCTGGCCTGCGCCCCCATCCCAGCTCCACGAACACTGGATGCCTTCGGTTGCCCAGCACTGCTTGTCACTGGCCAGCAGACACTTAGCCCACAGCCTTGCCAGGTGGAACTGCTGCCCTGCCTTGGGTACTGGGAAACCCCGCCCTCCCCACAGCAGCAGACTGCTGAGTTTGGTGCCCACAGATGAACCCCGTTGTTACCACTGATCCTCTTGTTGACCTGTGGCTCAGAGTTTCATCCCCTTCGGCAGTTTCAAAACTTCATGTTCTGATACCAGCCAGGGCTTTCTTTCCAAGTTTAGTTTCCTATGCTGCCCTCCCCCACACATACACTTCTCTGTGGATCTCCAAGCTCTTTCTGAAATGGAATTGTGAACACTCAGAACTTGATGAATTGATGCTTTGCTCCTTGATCTCCTTCTGCCAACCTTTGGAGGAAGTAACTTTAACAAATGCCTAGGAGTTCACTGGAGTTTTTTTTTAAATGTTTCCGGGGGGGGGGGGGGGGGTGCGGGCGGGGGTGGG